ATGAACCTGGGACCTGCACACCATCCTCTGAAGCGCTCTCTGTGGCAGTAATGGGGTGACTGCTGGCACCTTTTCCTATCATTTTTTGCCTTGTGGTATTCTGCTTGTGGTGTGATCTGTCTTTTTTGTGGTGTGGCATGATTGTGTTATTGGGTTTGTTTCTTTTGAAGGGGAAGTGATGTGTTGTGAGTGAGGACATATTTTACTTCAGAATACAGTAGGTCCCATATGAGACAATTCCAACTGTCTTGTGGGGGGGGAGTTTGAGGTGTGGAATGGAGTGACGTCCAATCAGCTTCCATACGCAAATGACCTTGAAATGCTGGCCCAATCAGAGAAGAGTAGGCTGAAGTGGCCCAGCCGTAGAAGCCCCGTCCCTGCGTTCAGTCTGCAGATGGTCCTCTCCTGTCAGAGGCCCAGAGCAGACTGAGCAGACTGAACCGGCCGGGGCTGATGTGGGCGGGACTACACAAAGCAGCCAGTCAACCCATCAAGCGTCTTCTGACTGACAGTTCAAGCTTCCAAACACTGTTGGTGTGCATTGGAATGTTGGGCCCCACTATGACTTTATATATAAGGGAGAGATGAAAGAATGAATGAAAGAAAGAATGTATGAATGAATGAATGAATGAATGAATGAAAGAAAGAAAGAAAGAATCTTATTTTTTTAGAAGAGGAGTTTGCATGAGGTTGGTTCTCCAAGACCCAGGAGTTCACATGAAGGAATGCTCCTTCGTATTTTTTAAATAAGAAAAAAATCTGTTCATATGAAAAACTAGCATGTCCAGAGTTTGCTTAACTTCCTCTCAGGTGCACCAGTTTTTCTACATGCAGGATTTCTGCAATATGGAAGAACATTCAGTCACGAAAGGTCCCACCTGCCACCTGAAGCAGTACACCCCCAGGCACCAGTTTTCCACGTCAGCAAGAAGTGGACCATGGCTGTTGATGTATAAATCACTCTTATCATCATGATTTCACACTCAAGAAATGAACATGAACCCAGGTCAGAAATCACAGTTCTGGGAATTGCCACTAAAATGTTCCACTGCTGCTACTATTAGTACTTAACATTCATTTGGAACCATGGGGGTATGCCAAGGGCTGGCTGGCTGGCTGGAACGCAGAACATAAATGTCAGTCCAAAGGGCTCACAACCTGGAGGGTTCACAATTGCCACAGATAATTAAACCACTCAGTGCATTAATGTGGAAGCTTATTCTGTAGCGCATGAAACGCAAAGGATGTCCTCAGCCACGTCTCCCTCTCAAAGGAGCTAACATTTAATTAGTGCTTGGGAAGGAGAGAGCAGTTTCAGATGACAGATGCCAAGACATAGGTGCTTATTTACCTTGTAGGGTTCCCCAAAGAGATTAAAGCCAGAGGCAAAGAGATCTTCATCCTGCTGGACTTCTTGATTTCTCCGCTCCCATTCTTTTCTCTTAAGTGCATTCCGATCTTGTTCATAGTGACTGAAATTAAAACAAAGAGACAATAAAGAAACAACCCATTATTCTTTTGTCTTTTCATCAAACAAGTTTTTTAAAAAAATATTTTTCAGGGGCAGGTCCTTAAAACTGCACTTCTGCAGTGATAGTGATAGTGATAGTGTATTGACAGTGAAAGAATCCCAGGCTCTTGGTTCATGCTTTAGTGTAGTGGCACTGGTGTTTATCAAATGATGCACATGCAAGAAATCCTTTCCAAACTAACATCTCTGCTGAAGGACTCCAGATCCAACAGATTCTTCCAAGCTCTTCCCCTTACTTTCCGGCTGCTGTCCTAGGTTTGCCCTTAACTCTCCAGCACCTGCCTACCTTGAAAATTCCACACCCCCACACACCGTCAATATTTCTGATATCCACTGAAGTCAAGGGGCATTGCTTTCTTGCTCCATTGTAAATTGATCAGTCCTACATCTAATTTGGCTCACATTCAATCTGTATTCAAGCAGGGAGAACCAAATACATTGATGAATGCATCTCAGTTAGCATCTATGCTGACAGAATGGCATACCACAAGGGCTGGCCTCAGCATTCCCTGAGGTGGGGCAGTTGCCAAGACCCAGAGCTTTGGGTAGGGCCCACTGCCACCTCCCACCACCTGCCCATGCCCAGCCCAATCAGTTGTAGGTGCTCTGCCATCAACACTTCTGGCTCCACATGCTGCCCAGGAGTGCTCAGGAAGAATGTGCAGGAGAAGCACAGCAGCAGTGCTTGTGGCAGTGGTTATGGTGCCCAGTGCAGTTGGAAAAAAGGCTTGTGGGCAGTGGGAGGGCTTGCAAGGGGGGGGGGAGGATGCACAGGCAGGGAGGGCTCGTGAGCAAGTGGGTGGGGAAGAAGGAGTGAACCAGGAGCCTGGCAGTGGGCAGAAGAGGGGAGGGGGGCCCTGGACACACTGGCCCTGAGCCTTCCATAACACAATTGCATTAAATTGCATATTATATAAATCCACCAAATACTGAGCCAAACCATAGGATCATCTAGCTCAGTATTATTTCACTTGGATCAGCAGTGGCTCTCTAAGAGGCCTCAGACACAGTAAGGTCTTTCCCTAAGTACTGGCAATCCTTTAATTAGACACAGAACTTAGAAATGCCTACATGCAAAGCATCGGGCTCTTTTTGTAGCAGGAACTCCTTTGCATATTAGGCCACACACCCCAATGTAGCCAATCCTCCAAGAGCTTACAGAGCTCTTCTTACAGGAGCTACTGTAAGCTCTTGGAGGATTGGCTACATTGGGGGTGTGTCACTTAATATGCAAATGAGTACCTGCTACAAAAAGAGCCCGGGCGGTTTACACTACGATAGCCACTCCCAAGATGGAGGTCTCCCAGACCCAGCTTGCTCTCCCTTCAGTGACACAGCAGCTGTGGAGAAAGGCATTTTTAAAGTCCCCAGAAGCCCAGCTGGACTTGGGATAACAGGGGAGGAGGGGCTCCTGCCTTCCATGTCCACAGAATAGTCCATATGCAACTTCAAAGATGGAAAAATTACTTCCCCCCCGGCTGTTTCAGCTTGGGAAAAGAACAGGGGGGGGAGGCAGGAGCCCCTCCTCCACCCAAGCCATCATCCTGAGCCCAACTGGGCTTCTTGGGAGTTCAAAAAATGTCATCCCCCCACAGCTGCTGTGTAACTGCATGGAAAGCAAGCTAGGTCCAGGAAACCCAGGCCCAACCCATCAATAAACATAACATGTAGTTTGGCCCCTAGTACTGTCTGATCTGTCAGGAGTTTTCCAGGTTTCCCACAAGATAAAGCTTGCTACCTTGACTGGAGATTGAACCTGCTCTGCTCACTGAACACTTGCTGCTATCTCCGCAGCTATATCATATTTTAAATTGTTCTAATAGTTTAAACTGTTCTCTGTATAACTCCAGAAGCACGGGTGTCTATTGCATTTGCGGGAGGCATTTTAATAAAAGAAATTTATGTATCCAGAATATTTTAACTGGAGTTGTGTTTTAATAAAAAACACTTTTATTGCTGTTTTGCATGTTTAATTAAATCCCACTATCCTAATTCTGCCTGACATAAATCATTAGTAAAACATAATTATATGGTAAAATAAGCAATACAGCATTTACTATTTTCTAGCAGGTTAAAAAAAGGATTAATAAAAAAATCAAGCCCTATAATTGCTCAAATCAATGTACATAATTATAGTCTGTCCTTCTAAGTACCAAAAAAGATACAATAAATGGAACACAGTGTCTGAAGTTGTAAATCTGATTTCCCCCCCTAATGGTTGTGTCGACAAGTCAGAGTTCCTCCTTTGTTTATTAGACAAAACTGGAAAATTTGCTTTTAGTTCCATGTTCTACATATCAAGGCTTCCTGCTTGATAACTAAATCATGATTCACTTAAACTGATTTCCAATTCCAATTGATGGAGCCACCATCAAAATCTATCCAGCACCAGAGTTAACATTTTATTTTACAGGAAGCAACACAAGCCTGGGAGATCTCCTTGAACCAAAGCCTTATCTCAGTATGAATATATGTATACTTGTATACTTCCAGCTGCAGGGCTGGTGTCAAAAGCTGGTATTATCAGGCATCTGCTAAGGCCAACCATATGCTTGAAGGCCCACTGCCAACTGGAGATGGCAGTTTATCCACCTCAGAAGGGAGATCATCCCAGAATCATAGAGTTGGAAGGTACCTCTAGGGTCATCTAGTCCAACCCCCTGCACAATGCAGGAAATTCACAAATACCTCCCCCCCACCCCCACCCTAGTGACCACTGTTCCATGCCCAGAAGATGACAAAAGACCTCCAGGATCTCCAGCCAAACTGGCCTGGAGAAAAATTGCTTCCCAAAGTGGCAATCAGCATTTCCCTGGGCATGTAAGAAATGGCCATGAGAACTAAGCACTGATGCTCAGAGTAGTGTACTCCTCTGCTCAGAAGCCACCTTGTGAGGAAACCTAGACTAATCCCTGTGATGTTTCAGGAATCTCTAGGTCAATCCCTTGTTTCTCACTAGGAGGAACACTGGGAAGAATATTGGGGGGGGGGTTGTGGGGGGGTTGCTTTTGACAGCACTGAATGGGCTGGCCCAAGATCACTCATCTAGCAGAGTGCAAGGGTGTAAACCCAGATCTCCCTGTTTCTAAATCCAACTCTTCATCTGCTATACCACACAGGCTCACAATTGCTCTGATTTCATGAGCTGTATCTATTCATGTGATAGACTGTCATTTCAGGCATAACGCAAAACCACAGTTTACACTTACTTTATGAAACCAGGATCTGGTTTGCAGGCATTCACTGAAATGATTTGCCTGTATGTAAACCCTAAAGAGGCCCAACACTAGCCCCATAGCCAGAAATTTTTGGCTGGTGGGGCAGGGGCCCGGGGCACTGGGACGGGGAGCGGGGGGACTTAATTAGATTACCCGACAGCAGTGTTTCCTCTAAGCTGAGTTAGTGTGAGCTAGCTCACAGTTTTTTAGCCTCCAGCTCACACATTTTTTGTCTTAGCTCAGGAAGGACGGCTCCAGAGCAAACTGATTGATGCAGTAGCCAAATTGCTCGCTCTCAATTTTAATGCCAGTAGCTCACAAAGTAGAATCGTTGCTCACAAGACTCCACAGCTTAGAGGGAGCATTGCCCGACAGTATGTGGGGTAGGGCTACTGAAGGAGTGAGAGAGAGAGAAGGCAGGGAGGCTGGGGGAAGAAAGGGAAGCCACTTCTGGTCAGTTTCACTCCCCTCTGATCACCTGTTAAACTTAACAGCAGATTGCCAGAGTGAAACTGACCAGAAGCTTCCCTTTCCTTCCCCAGCCTCCCCACTGCTACTGGGAAGAGGTGCGCCCAGGGGGTGGGGGATTTGAGGGGATCTGACAGGGCTGGTCTGTGGTGGGGCTCTGCCCCCAAATACCTCACCATCCAACAGGGATCCTAGCCTGCACTGTGGCACACATGGCACCAGGAAACAAGCCAGCATCACACACAATAATAATTAAGACTAACTGTGGTTAATAAAACAACTTCCAGCTACGGTTCCCCATCCTAAATAATGATAATTCTCAGCACTAGCCATGTTCATACTACTTAGTTAAACCATGATTTTGTGTGATGTCTGAGCCAAACAACTAACTTCTGTTCATGTGTCTATCATAGGGTTGCCACAAGCAGCTAAATGGGTGAGCTGCACTTACAGCACATCCCAAGCTATGGCTACCTCACATCTTTACTCTCAAACTCTGCAGCACTTCTAAAAGATTCCTAGCAGATCACAGCCACAAAGAATACAATGAGCATCAGAATTTTGTCATGCTAAAGATAACAGTATAGATAGAAGAGACAGACACTGCTGCGGGCATGTGTCTCTAGCAATCCCAGCCCTGGCCTGTAGCTACTGCAGCCTCCATTCAGCTCTTTAAGCATTAACAGGAAAGTCCCACATAAAAGACATTAAACTTAAATCTTTTACTAAAGATTGGACTAGTTAATCATTATGGGATAAGCTCCCCTTTCAGACCCCTTCCCCCCACAAGCACCTCCTACTCCTAGACTGTCCATGAGGGTACTGATCTCCCTGTTGCCTTTTTGGACTCTCTTCCTTTCCCTCCATACCCTTGACCTCAACTGCCCCATCTCACCCACTTATTGCACTTAACTCCTTGCTGCAAACTACCCCTCCTGTCTGGAATGAAACCCTCCAACGCACCTGCAAAACCAACCATCCACTGTGCTCAAATCAGCTGCACCCAGGTTTTCAACTTTGTATAACTGACCGTCCCTGCTTAATAAGCTACAAAATTCACCAACCTTCACTTACAATAGAGCAGCTTTAGCCAATCACTAGGAAGGGATTGCAAGCAGGATGGTTAGAATGTCAACCTCCAGGTGGGACCTGGGGATCCCCTGGAATTACAGCTCATCTCCAGACTGCAGAGATCAATTCCCCTGGAGAAGATGGATGCTTTGGAGGGGGGAGTCCATGGCATTGTACCCTATTG